AGAGAAGAGTCTGTCGAGCAGAGCCCAGAGCGTCCTGCAGACACTCCGCCTTGTACCTGGGAAGGACTTGCTGCCCCAGAACTTAGATTTTGTTTTCTCACAGAGTGGCTGACCCAGTATGGGTTGATCAATGGCTCCTTTGTGGGGGAAAAATTAAAACATGATGTGGGAGTGATTTCTTACTAATAAAGAAACTGCCTAGGCCCCTTGATAGGCCCACCCTTAGGTGGGTGGAGAAAACAGAAGAGAATTCTGGAAGAAAGAAGCTTAGTGGAGGAGTCACCATGATTCTCCCGCTCCAGACAGACGCAGGTTAAGATCCTCCCTGGTAAGCCAGCTCGTGGGCTACACAGAATATTAGAAATGGGTTAGAACAATATGTAAGAGATAGCCAATAAGAAGCTGGAACTAGCCTGGCCAGGCAGTGTTTGAAAGAATACAGTTTTCGTGTAATTATTTCGGGGCATAAGCTAGCCATGCGGGCGGCCGGGTGCCGGGGATGCAGCCCTGCCGCTCCTAATTTCAACAAAAACAGGCCTAACTGTTAGTACAGGAACAGTTGCAACTAGGTCATCTAGGACTTATTAGGCCTTGGAATTCCCCTATGTTTGCAATCCATAAAAAGGCATGAAGCAAGGTGCTGGAGAAGTCACTGAGAGCTACATCCTGATCCAAAGACACACATACACACACACACACACACACACACACACACACACACACACACACACGAGAGAGAGAGAAAGAGAGAGAACACGAACGAACCTAGCATGGGCTTTTGAAACCCCCAAATCCCCCCCTACCCCCGTGAGATACTTCCTCCAGCAAGGTCAGATCTCCTAATCCTTGTAATCATGTCAAATAGTTCCACTTTTTGCTGAGTAGGCATTCAAATATAGGAGCCTATGGGGACCATTCTTACTCAAACCACCACACAACTCAACAGTCTGAACTTACTGTAATCAAGCAGCTCTTATTATGTTTCTTGCCATTGACTATTTTACTTGACTCAGCATATTGAGCTCAACCTGTTTCTCTTTTAGAAACTGCAGTCTTGAACCCACCCCCACTTCTGTTACTTAACAATTATTTTTCTCCTACCTGATGTCTATATGACAAAAAAAATCAACATTATTTTTATAACTCATATTCATACTAATTCCAATCCACCAAGTTGGTTAACATCTGCTAATGCTCAGACCAGCATTCTGGCCTCAGCAGCAGCAGTCTGCCTTTTTCAGAAGGCTAAAAAAAAGTCTCATGAACTTCTTTACTTTCTCCTTCTTCTTTCTCTGCCCTCTTGGTGAAATTAATCCCCTAAGTCTGAAATCTAATGCAGTGGTTCTCAACCTTTAGGAAGGTTTATACTGGGGGCTTGCAAAGATGGCTCAGAGCTTAAGAGTACTGGTTGCTCTTCCAGAGGTCCTGAGTTCAATTCCCAGCAACCACATGGTGGTTCAGAACCATGTATGATGAGATCTGGCACCCTCTTCTGGCCTGCAGGCATACATGTAGGCAGAACACTGTATATATAATAAATAAATCTTTAGAAAAAGGTTTATACTATCCTTCCTGCAGGTTATAAAAGCTCATGTGGGATTAGCTGTATTGCACCCATTTTTCTCAGAAAATGTTTGCAACTGATCAACAGAATTAAGAAGACTCTTCCCAAAATTGTAATGATTCTCTGGGTCTATTGGATCTTGTAATGGTTGCAGCCATAATGGCTTTTTTTTTTGTATTTCCAATCCCAGGAATGATTACTGGAATACAGAAAGAGGTTTCAAAATGGCCTGTATGATTAAGTAAAACTTCTATATCAGAGCAAAACTAAGTCACTATCTAATAACTGGTCTTTTCTAGTTTACTCTGCTTCAGGACACGTGTGTGGAGACGAGAGGACAGTGTAAAGGAGCTGCTCTCTTCTCCCACCACATGGGTTGTGAGGAGGACTCTGGCTGTCAGGCCTGTCAGCAGGCACCTTTCCTTACTGAGCCAGCCCAAGACACATTTCTTATCAAGTTTTACTCTTTAAATATTTCAAATGTGAAGTTAATCATTGATAATAAATGTAAGAAGAATGTAGAGTTTTCAACATTTAAAAATATTATCATTGAGAGTTCCTTACATACTTTACTCAAACAAAAATATAAATTATATTAAACAACTATGAGAAAAGCAAATGAAGGAAAACAGCAGTCTGTAAGCTTTGCTCTTGTATTAAAAACATCTATTTTCCATTATGTATACCTGAGGGTAGATTCCCTGGAGCTGGAGTGACAGGAAGTTGTGAGCTTCCCCACGTGGGTGCTAGGGCATGAACCCAGGTCCTCATAAAGAGGTGTATGTGCTCTTAACCACTGAGCCTCCTCTCCAGTCCCATCCATGTATTTTTGAGTAGATGCTGGGAAAACCAAGTTATAATTGCACTTAGATTATTTTAATTTGGGCAAAAGAATGTAACATTTAAATATGTTAATTTTCCCCAATTGATGGAATTACATACTACATGACTTGGTATGTTTAAATATTTTTTATGGTTTATTTAACTTTATTTTATGTGCATTGGTGTGAAGGTGTCAGATCCCCTGCAACTGGATCTTCAGACAGTTGTGAGCTGCCATGTAGGTGCTGGGAATTGAACCCAGGTCCCCTAGAAGAGCAGTCAGTGCTCTTAACCACTAAACCCTCTCTCCAGCCCCAAATGTTAATTTAAATTTTTTTTTTTTTTTGTGACAGACTTGGTTTGTAGCCCAGACTGTTCTCTAATTCATGGTTTCCCTGTCCCAGCACGACCACACTCAGTTTGATGAAAAATTCAGATATCAACTTAAAAACAGGGAGGTAGCTGGCACATCTTTAATCCCACACTCGGGAGGCAGAGGCAGGTGGCCAGTCTGGTCTAAAAAGTGAGTTCCAAGACAGTCCGGTATACATAGAGGAAACCCTGTCTTGAAAAACAAAGCAAAACAAAACAATCCAAAAACAAACAAAACAAAAAAACAGAAAGACTATATCTTTTTTTTTAATATTTATTTATTTAT